AAGCGTGTGTTTAATTCTTATATTTATTCTACTTGTATTATCATGGTGCCCTGCAAATTAATCATTATGTATTTTTTCTGCTCTAGTTTTGAGCTGGTGTCACTAAAACCCTTTCAATTTGAAATACAGGGAGCCATGTTGTTTGGCAAGCGGTTGGAGGTCAACTATTCAAAGCATGCAAACATTACACAAGGTGCTGATACACATGAGTATGCCAATTCAAATCTCAATCGATTCAATCGTAATGCTGCTAAGAACTACCGATACTGCTGCTCTCCAACGAAGATGATCCACTTGTCCACTCTCCCACAAGACATAACTGAAGAGGAGATCGTGAGCCTCTTGGAGGAGCATGGTACCATTGTCAACAGCAAGGTCTTTGAGATGAATGGTAAAAAACAGGCTCTTGTTCAGTTTGAGACCGAGGAGCAGGCTACCGAAGCCCTTGTGTGCAAGCATGCAAGTCCACTTTCTGGATCGGTGGTTCGCATCTCCTTCTCCCAGTTGCAGAATATATGAGAATTTGATAACTGAAGGGAAACAGTTTTATGGTTGCTACTTGCTAAGCATATTAGGGTCAAGGAATTCTAAATTTGGGAAGGATAATTTTTATGCAGATAATGTCACCTTCATTGTCATTGTAATGGTCTCTTTGCTTGCTAATTTACTGATAAAACCTGCACTACTTTTTCTCTTTGAATCATTTATCTTCTCATCTCCATTGCCTCTGCTAGATGTTTAGGTTGCTAACGTAATGTAGTGGGGCAAGCTTTATGATTGCAGATGGATGAGGTCTTGAAGAACATAGAAAAGGGGGAGGGAAATTGCTTACTATTATTACCTTCTTCAGAGTTGAGGGAGGGATTGCCTTATGGTTTTTATAATGATTGTTGTATATGTTCTGTAATTCAGGCTAAGTAGGCCGTTCTGTTGTATTCTCTATCCATATCAATTTTCTTGTCCAACTAAGGAAAAAAGCTACATTTTTGGTTTTGGTGTATTTATTCCTATCTGTGCTCTTTGTTCCAGCTACTAGCAGTGTGTATGGATTTGCTTCTAATATTCACGTTTTCACATCAAATCATATAAAAGACATAGAAGCAACTTTGTTACCTGATGTTGGTTTGGTGCTGCAAAACGTGTATCAAAACATGTTCTACATGTCTGTCTCTTCTACACTTATATCTCCTACCCTTATCTTCCTTTTCTTTCTTCCTTGCATGGTTTAGGGTTTAGGGTTTATTATTTTTTCTCCTTGAGATTCCCACCCTGTATTCCTTCCAATCCATAAACAGTTACAGGAAGTTGAACCTTCAAGAAATGGAGAACAGCGCAATTGGTAAAGAAAGGGACCTTGCACTTTTTTAAAAAATAATTATATTATTGGTATGAAATATTTATTAATTTTATTTATGGCTAATTTTTGTTGGATAACTTAATTATCTTTAGTGAGATCTCTTTTTTTAATCATGTTTTATTCATTTATAATTATATTTTATGTAGTTGTGTTCTCCTATGTTCCTTGTAACATGAAATTCTTACATAAGGAGTCTTTGCAATATATACACCGAGAGTTTAACTTTCGATGTTTATTGTACAATCTATTGAAAATAGGAAACAATAAAAATAAGATGGTACTTTTTAAGTAAAATTTAGAATATTTCTTTAACCGAACTTGAATTTTTCAATATTTAGATGTGATCCTGAATTGCTCCTATTGTTTCTAAAATGAGTTAGTTAACTTTAATCTCTGAACATTAACTTCTTCATCAATGATTGATATCTTGAGTGATTAAAACAGCCGTTAATTTAAATGTTAACTTGATATCAAGGGCACAAAAACTTTTAAAAGCATCACATAGATTATGTTTGGTCTAATTTCCTTATGAATTAAATGTACTTAAAACCCTAAAATAGAAGTCGTCCGAATATAAAATATAAAATAGTTTTTTTGTAGTTTTAACTTCAAATTTCTTTAATACAAAAAATTCTTTCTTAGTCTCGCATGTGTTAATTCAAAATGAGAGGGCGAGAGAAATTAAGGTGTGCAATTTATTAGAAACTTATCTATGCAATGAGTTGGTTAGGCACATAACAACAATAAAACTAAGTATCTTGTAGTCAATTATTATATTTTTAATTCAATGAGTTGGTTAGGCACATAACAAAAAAAATAAGAGTATGTTGTAGTCAATTATTATATTTTTATTTCAATCATCATCGATGATATTTTTTATACAAAAATTAGTTTCTTTATTTTGAGTTGTATGTTATTTGACTTTATTTAGTTGGAATTACATATATATTTGTAACTAGAGGCTTTTTGAATATGGTGCTGGAATTTGATTCTAAGTTTGTCATTAGTCTTGATTAGAATGGTTGTAGTCCCTATCATGATTGTGCTCCTGTTATTAATTCTGTCCTCACTATAATAGACTCGTCCATTATAGAGTTTTAGAATCATACTTTGTGTTAAATCAATTAAGTGGTTAATTACTTTATCAAACATGTATCGCAACTGAATGACTTGGTTGTTTTTTTTTATTGGGTTCCTATATTTGTACCCCTAAAGACGTTAGTAGATGTTTTTTCTCACTACAACACCTACTGTTTTAGCTAGGTCCACCATTTTTTTAATGTAATTTATATGTTATGTATGGTTGTACATAAGAGCATATTGGTTGAAGTAGATTCTTCTCTTTAATCAATCAAAACCCTTTCTCGAACTATACAGACTTCTTACAAAATATATGACTTTCTAGATATAGATGATGATATCTATGAAAATAGGTCTTAAATGAATATACCTATCTATATCTATATTGCATAATGAAGTACTACCATAATGGATATATAGGAATCCAAATATGTTGAGTTACTCATATTATGATCTTTATGTCCTAAGTCTTACTGTCCTTCATCTTGCTTGTGTTCTTCATGTAGCATTCAAACTAAATGACTTAATGAAGTTATGTTGTTGCTTAACCACCGTAATAGTCTCATTTGTTATGAAGTTTTAGAATCATACTTTGTGGGAAACTAACTAGGTGGTTGGTTACTTTGCCAAGTATGTTTTGCAACTGAATGACTTGGTTTTTTTATTTATTTATTGGATTCTTGCCTTTCTGTGAGGCTCATCCATTATGGAGTTTTGAATCATACTTTGAGTGAAACCAACCGGGTGGTTAAATGCTTTGCCAAGTATACTTTACAACTAAATGCCTTTGGTTGCTTTTTTATTGGGTTCTTGTCTTTGTATTAGGCACATCTATTATGGAGTTTTGGAATCATACAAGAGGCGAAACCAACTAGGTGATTGATTGGTTTCCCCTGCTTTGCAATTGAATGACTTGGTTGCTTTTTAATTAGGTTCCTGTCTTTGTATTAGGCTCATCTGTTATGAAGTTTTGGGATCATACTTAGAGTGAAACTAACAAGGTGACAAATTGGTTTCCCATGCTTTGCAACTAAATAACTTGGTTGTTTTTTTATTGGCTTCTTGCCTTTGCATCCTGAAGATGTTGGTAGATGCTTATTCTATTTCATTCTCTCATGATTTATAATATAGTGTTCTGTGTTGGAGCGTAGTCTCTTCTCTCTACAAAAAAAAAAACAAAATCCATGTATAGTCTTTCAAATGTATAATGTAACTTATTAATGACTAAATTACTCATTGAGGTTTTTTTTTATTTAATTAGTTTAATTTAGTCATTTTATTATTTAAAATTTTAATTTATTCTTTTAATTTTTAAAAATCATGTGATGTATTATTTTTATAATTTATTTATACTAACAACATTACTCCCTTATGCACCAGGTGACACTTGTCATTCATTTCTTTTATTGTGTTATGAAAATAAGAAATCAATGCTATTAGTTTTGGTGCAATCATGTCTAGGGGCTAAATTCAAAAGAATCCAAGAGAAGCGGGTTAAACATAAAGGAGGAAGGTCTAAACTCATGTTAAGCTTTAGGTTTTAATAATAGTTCATTTCTTCTTATTTTTAAATATTTCTTTTATTTTGACCTTGTATTTTGGTCAATTAGAATAAGAATTCATTTATTGTAATTTTTTCTTTAGAGACATACTTATTATGTTAGGGTGTGTAACTAGTAATTTAAAAATTGTGTTAATTGGGCTTGTTTGGGCCAAGAGAGGGAGGAGAACATTTTTGGTGAGAGTGATCATTCATTTTGTGCTCTCCATACCCTTTCATTGGCTTTACACAACTTCAACTAATCACATGTTTCACATCCGGTCACACTCACATCTTTTACATTCCTTTCTTACGTCCACACTCCTTATCACACCTACTGCACCTTGCTACATGTTTGTTTCTCATTGGATACCATGGATCTAATGATTAGGGAACCAAATTTTGAATTTCAAATTTAGACAACCTTGATTTATTAGCTTGAGTATAAGTTAACTAAACTATAATTTACATCACCATATTTTACTTAACTTACACTACAAGTTAACAAAACCTATATATAGGTGTGAACTCAATATATTTTGTTACTTTTAAATATTAATGAGAAAGAGATTGAGTTTTCTTTCAACTTCAAGAGTCTGACTTCCTCGCAGAGTGTAACTTAAAATCTAACTCTTTTCTTATGATTAGTCACCTTCTAGGCTTATCTTCTCTTTAAGAAGTGGTGTTTCTCCATTCCATTCTTCTCCACATTTTCAAGTTCTTCTTCAACAATACATCTTATAGACAAAAAATCTTTGGAGAGAAAGAAGATTTAAAAAGTCATTCACTACTCTTTAAAACTTGTTTCACCAAATTTAAATTCGTTAAAAAATATATCATTATATCATTTTAAAAATTATAGGTATAAATAGAAACTCTTAATAGACTAAATTGTGTCTTTTATATTTAACATATTTATAATTAATTAATAATACAAAAATCCTAATCTCAATGTTAGTAATTAATAAATAGCAAACTTAAATATATTATTTCTCAAATAAAAAGCCTTGAAACTACGTTTTGTTTTCCTCCCTTGCTTCTCATGTTGTACACTTGTAAACCGACCACACAAAATCTCCAATCCAAACACAGCATTGTCCGGTAAAATGGATTTACATGCATTCCGCTTATCACAATCACATCCATTCATGCTCAGCACCCACCGTTACAGTTACAACGCTCCCTCTCTCTGCACCCTTCGTTCCCTCTCCGCGAACCCTCGCAGGTGGTTCACGGTGGAAGCCGGCAAGAAGACCAAGGCCTTCGACGAGGCGGCGTTCGAGGCGGAGCGGCTGGCTCTCGACGCGGAGGCCCGGCGGGCCACGGCTGAGGCCGCAGACCCGAAGGCCTGGAAATGGGTTATCCGAAAGAGGATATGGGACACGATGGAAGCACGCAACTTCGCCAACAACCCCCGACCCGTTCACCACCGCATTCCCAATTTCGTTGGCGCTTCTGTCGCCGCTCAGAAGGTATGGACCCAAATAGGAAGAAATTAACTGTTGATAGTATAAGAGCATCTTTGAATGCAAGTATAGAATGACTCTTAAGAGCTTCTCTTCTTAAAATTACTTTTTTTTTATTTTCAATAGCATGTATCCAAGTAGACTCTAAATAGTCTTTGGACTTATGGTTTGAAATGCTTTTATACTATTATCTAATTGCAAGTTGACATCCCTGTTCTTGATAATTTTTTAACTGTCTCCCATAATTTGATATCTGTTGTAATGTAAGAGTAGTTTGGAGTTGAATATAGTAGTTAAATATCGGTACATGTTTGATGTGAATCAATCAATTATAAGGAAGGCTCCACAAATACGATTATTTGATAAGCCAAGAAAGATCGTCACAAGAATTGGAAAATTCTTGATAAGATCAGTTGATGCAACGAAGAACCCTAGCAGAGCTAAAACTCACAAAAAGTATAATCTGTCCCTTTTCTCAATTCCCAAAATGTTTAATACAACTTTAGTTTGAGTTTGCCTTATTTGGAAGTAAATAAAGAAAATTAAAATACTAATATTCCAATAGAAGCTAATATGTCCAAGTGGTTTGATGAAGATATTATAAGCTTAAGGTCTTGGGTTCAAATCCTGAAATGTAGCAGTTTATTATTTTTATTTTTAATACTGCCTTTTACAAAACAAAACTAATACAACTTTAAAACTTAAGACATAAAAAGATAATAATAATAAATAAAAACTAAATCTTCCAGTTGGCCTCCTAGCTCTCCAAGCAAGCTATGCATGTAATAAGTCTAGCCTCCTCCATGTGTTGAGTCAATTGTTGGGTCTCTGGCAAATGGGCCACTTTGTGCTGCAATGCCTCTTGGGTTTTTTTAAGCATCCCTCTAGTCATAGGCCCACCTAAGATTTGAATTGGATCTTGATCTTTATCCTCTTTGTCGTGGACTTGGACTTTCTGATCATGGGCCTCTTGAGTTTGGGCTTTTATGTCCACATCAATGTTGAAAACAAAAAAATAAACTAAAAAATTGCCAAGATAAATTTGCAAAATATCAATAGTTTTTAGAAGAAAAGGTAACATTGCAATTTTTGCCACTAAACTTTCGAATTTGTAAATTTTGCCATCTAACTTTTAAATTTTTGCAAATTTTGTCATTGTTAATTATTATCTGACGCTGTTAGTTGACTGTTGACGTGATGACTGTTATGACACATCAATTAGCTGCCAATGTGAATTGATGATGTAGCACATTAAGCCGTATCATTTGTCAACATGTCATTTCAGTGGTCAACTTGCTACGTCAAGGATCAATTAATGCTGCATATGATCAAATTATCGGCGAGATAAAATGTGTAAAATTTTGAAAGTTTAGTGATAAAATGTATAGATTAAAAAATGGGTGACAATTCGCAAATCATGAAACATGAGTGACATAAAGTACAATTAAGACAAAAAGGAAGAAGCTAAAACATCAATAGTTTCAGACCAGAGATAGGAGAACTAATAGTCATACCTAATTACCTATCATGGTTTGTGATTGATTGTTTGTATGATTTTTTTATGGTGGAAATTCAGACATTAAACTCCAGTTACACACACTAAGAGTGGAAAAGACTGTGACTCAATCACAAATTGTGAGTAGTAAGTTTGTGGACATAAATAACTTAATAATTATGCTTAAAATGATTTCTGAATTGGATGAGAGAACTTTTATAAATGTTGCCGTGCATAAGTTGATTTTGACTTTGTGAAAGAAATTTAATTCATTTTATCTTCTTATAAATACATAGAAAGAAGTTTAGAGTTTAAGCCTTTAAGGTTTAAGGTTTAAGATGTCAGTGACCACTAAATAACTCTTAATCTTGACCATCCATGTATGATATATGACCTATATCTCATGAGTACTTTCAGTTCTGCAGCTAGATTGATAAAACCCAATCGTTATAAAAGGTTATTCAGTAGTGTAAGTCTATCAAAACTTCTCAAGAATGATTCATCTTTATTGGTGGGAAGATGAAAGTTCAATGGAGTGTGCTGGCATAGAATGGGACATAGGTGCGTTATTTGGAATTTGAGTAAAATTGTTTGATGTGGGTTTTGGCAGATGAGGGAGCTAGACGTGTTTCAGGTTGCACAATGTGTGAAGGTTAATCCAGATTCTCCGCAGAAACAAGTCAGGTTTCTCACGCTTTCAGGTCAGATACTTCACTTAGGGTTGTTTGTTTTTGTGTGTGGTGCTGGGTGGGGAGGGGAATGTTATTCATGAACATGTTGTGTGATTGGTTCCTTACTGATTTTGTTGCAAATATCCTCAGTTTGAAATGTGTTTTATATAGCTGAGAAATAGCAAGAGAGTGAAAAGATTTTAAAAGATATATTCTCTTAATCAGTGGAAGAGTAAGAATATCAACACTGTCATGCACAACTGAACAATTAGATCCTCAATCTGGGTGGCTCAGCTTAAACTTTATCATGTTAATCTCAGGTTTTGATCAGTTGCGTGCTATTGTGATTGCAAGAATAGTCCAAATAGCAGCATTATTCTAAGTGGAAAATATAAAAATGAAAGTGTAAAGACTGCTTGGCAATTAAGTGGTGCAAGTTGTACACAATTAGATACATGAAACTACATACTAGACTGCACCGGTGGGTTGCATGTAAGCTCAGCTGCATCTCCCTGAACCTGAACTAGTCCCTCTATACATGGATGATTGGTGCAGCTAGAAGTACGGGCATTAGTCAAGCAGTAAATGATTCTCAGTTTGGGTTATGAATTCTTATTGCAAATCAGTATATTCCCTATTACAGTAAACTATTATTAGTTTTGCCAATAAAAGCAAGACTTGATAAAAGTTGTTTAACATAATGGATGATTGAGTGATTGGAATTGCTTAAATTCAAAGTTCATAAGAGATCTATCTTTCTATGATGAATATATTAGAATCCAAGTTTAATTTGTCAAAAAGTGTGATCGGAGATTAAAGAGTTAACAATGTACTCTAAGGTCATCTCCATCTCCGGTCCTAAAGCTCTATCTTCCTATCATGCACCATGTCTTAATAAAATGTAACTGTTGGACAGAGATCTTAACAAACACCGGGTGCTTATTAAAGCACCGGTGCTTGTAACTGTGTTTGGGGTGAAAATGCTATAAAATAAAAATAAAAAGGTTTATATTATGAAAAATAAATGAATAACTTTGGGAAAGATTATTGTTGATGAAGTGTAGAGATGTGGGGTTATTTGTGGGACTCATTCACTAATGTTTATAGAGTTGCTGAGTTGGAGAGGGGAGTTGCTTAAATTATAGAAAATAGATACGGGTTATTTGTGGAACTCATTCATTAATGTTTTTTACACACTTATTGAGACCATGAAACAGAAGTCTTATATTTATATTTTTTTCTATCAGTTTTTTCAGGTATCTATGATCATGATGGTCATTTACTGAACTTATGCAACCTACAGCAATGAATAAGATTTAAATTGTCCAGCATTGCCCCTTATATCATTTTTGTTGAAAGTGTTATAAGAGTATGAGACTAGTTTATTACTGGCCCTTTATGATCTAAACCAGCATAATGAGAAAAACATTAGGAAACTTCAACTGACTAAAGCAGAATTTGTGATCAATTTAATAAAATTATAATTAATATAAGAAGACTTAAAATGTAATTAATTCAAGACTTCTGATTCTTCGTCTTCTTCTCTTCTGGTTCTTTTCTGACTGTATCTTTAATATATTGCAGATGGCAAGAAGTTGTTGACTCCTCAACCTCGGCTGAGAACTGGTTTCTTCTCCGTACTAGAATCCAATATGTTAACTTTGGGTACCATCAATGAAGCCTGCACCTCTGTTGGGGTTGCCAAGTATGGACGGCCAATTGGGTTAGATGAAAAGATAAAGGTAGATCTTATCGTTATTGGATCTGTTGCTGTTGACCCAAGAACAGGTGCTCGATTGGGAAAGGGAGAGGTACATTACAAGTCTTTTACTTTTCTTCTGGCGTGGTTAATCTTTTGTTGACTTATCCATTAAAAAGATAGAACTATAAAATTAGATTTAAATTTCTAGGCAACCTGTATGATCCAGGGTTTGAAAATTTTTCTTTGACATACTATTTGTTTAAATGTCATAAAATTTGTAGCCAATGCAGTATAGCTCATGGAAGGAAACCAGCCAGTCTAGTTTCAAGGCCTCCTATGAAACCAAAAATTTCCCTACTTTTCTGACATTGTATGATTGACTCTTCGCACAACCTTAAGGTTGCTGCCTTGTGACCTAGTTCCAGTGGTCATGGATTTAAATCCTAGAAACAGCCTCTCAGCCTGCAGGGGCGGTGCTGAGTATATCTACCCTCCCAAGACCTTACTAAATGAGAGCCTCATGCGATGGTCGTCCTCTGACATTATATACCAATAGGAATGTGCAAAATAGTTAATTTAGATGATACCTTATAAAGTTATAATTTATTAATGGACTTTGAACTCGATTGTTCCTTCTACTAAGGGTTGAAGTGCAGGGATTTGCAGAACTTGAATACGGTATGCTGCGGTACATGGGAGCCATTGACGATTCAACACCAGTTGTTACCTCTGGTAGTTTTGGTTCCTGCCCTGCCTTTTCCACTTCTCTTGGCCATTCCTTTAAACGTTTCTCTTGAACATTTCGGAAAAATAATTTCAACAGCTATAGTAACTTCATGCATACACGTTTATTTCATGTTTTAAACATGGGTATGACACAACTTGTTTCTGGAGCCTCAGTTTTCTGTGTTTTTTTTTCTTAAAAGAAACATCTATCTTCTTTACAAGAATAATCTACCCTGGATGTTTTATATTATTTCTGTTTTCACATATGATTCTCTAGCCTCTGTACAATATAAAAGTTAATTGGGTTGGACATTATCTGAGTTGCAAAATGATTTCTTTTTTGTTTTTTTTAGAAAGTAACAGTGGGGCAGGGGAAGCACCTGAAAGTAAAGAAATTTCTTGCACCAATACTGACATGCTAATGAATTTAATGCAATATATTTCTCAGGCCCTCTATACCATATTACAATGTGCATTCATATTCATTTCCACTTTATTCTTATCATATTGAGAAAAACCTTTGCAGTGCATGACTGTCAATTGGTGGATGATATTCCAATTGAAAAGCTGTTAATCCATGATGTACCAGTGGATATAATTTGTACCCCAACACAGGTCATTTTCACAAATACATCTATTCCAAAGCCTCAAGGTTGGTGAAACAATGCACTCTATATGACTCTGCATATTCTATCTTTCTGCAAACATTGAGGGAGGGTTTGCTGTGTTTGTAACAGTGGAGAAAATCGGAGAAGAAAAAATGTTTAAAATTTGAATTCAAGAAAAAATGGTTGGAAAGAAAAATTTAAAATTTTGTTACTAATCATCAACTTTTTTCTCCCTTTTCCCTTCCATTTTCTCTTCAACCAAATAAAAAAAAAAGTTATCATTATCTGTGTTTTATTTTCTCTCCATTTGCTTTTCCTCCCTTCCAAACATATTGAGATGCCCTTGCAAAGAAGTAATTTCTGGTCAAATATTTAACCTTGGATGCTGTAGCTTCAACTTCTCTTTCCCATGTTGGATGTTCATAACTTGCCATATTTCTTCAAATACTAACCAATTTCCTTGTTTACTGCAGGAATTTATTGGGACAAGTTGTCCCCTGAGAAGCTGGGACAAATTCGTATACTGAGGGAGCTCAAGAAGAGGATTGAACAAGAGACTGGACAGAAGCTTCCAACTGGTCCATCAGAGAAATTACCCCCTACTGCTCAACGAAGTAGAAGGGGATGATTGTGTACATGTAAGTTTTGATGGATTTGTATATATAATAGAGGTGTTTAACGACGAGTAATGTACTAAGAAAACAAAATGTTTAATTTTATTATATTATATGTGTATATATGTTGAAAGAGAATAGCTACTTTGTATATATTATTGTACTCATTATTTTCGGGTAGTAAATATTTTGCATCGATCCGTCAAAAAAAAGTATTGATATTTTAGCAATAATGCTATATGGGTTGGAACAAATTTGTCTAAGTCCATACCTAATTTAAAAATATGATAGGATAATGTTACTCTATTTAAACATTGCATATGAAGCACCTTTTCAGAAGCATCCGATACCGACATAGAAACATACAAATTTAAGGGGAGGGGATGGGGAAGAAGTCCCTTTGTCATTACTTGTTATTTTTAGTTGGGTGTTCGAAGGTCGGTTGGTATGAATTTATTTTTGTTCTGATCTAATTTGAAATATTGATTTGGTAATTTATTTAGCAACACATTGGTTTCTTTTTTGTTAATTGAAAAATATTAAAAAAATTACGATAAATATGATGCAAAATATACATAATTTTGTAATTTTTAATAAAATTTGATCAATAACAATACATGATTTATTGATGTTGATTTATTTAAGTTATGTATCATATTTTTCATAGCAAATATTATTATCAAAAATCGTGTTTTGATAATTTTGTTTCTTGATTTAGGGATTGGATTTCAATTCTTGTTTAAATATAAAGTCATGATTAAAAATATTATTTTATTTTTATTGGAGTCAGTCTAGTAAGGGGTTATATTTCCTTACTAAAAATGGAACAAGTATTATTATTATTATTATTATTATTCTTATTAATTAATTAATTTTATTTTTGATTGTTTAAGTATTGTAATTGTGCAATTTTGATCATCAGGGTTTTAATTGAGTAATTTTAGTCCTTAAAAGATTGCAATTTATTTTAATTGAGTAATTTTAGTCCTTAAAAAATTACAATTGTGCAATTTTAGTTCCTCAAATATCATAATTGTGCGATTTTAATCTTTCTCATTAAAAATTTATTTAAAATTATACAATTATTTACTTATTTAAGTTAATGTATTGTTCGTACCGGAGATCGGTCGTATGAACGATCTTCTGGGCAAGATTGGTGAGCCTCATTCGTTGGGTATCATTGTTGTTCAAGGCAGGGGTGGTACCTGCAAAAGAGACTCCGATGCTAAAGTTAGTGTTTGTGGGTGTATTGGTCTCGTATAAGTAATGCACGTACCTTTGTGTGAATTAGGGTTTTGTTGGGCCTTGGGCCCGAGATCAGGTATGACTTATTTGGATAGCGTGCCTTGTCTTGGCCGACGTCGCCTAGCGTGTGTCCGAGGTCATTCTGCGCTGTGAAGCCGAGCTGGAGCTTGGCTTCGCGGTGCAGATAGTTGATAAGTGTTATGATTTCATTAAGTTTATGGCCTAATTTGAAGCACTTATATCAATTTTCCTTGCTTTAGACTTTGTTTTTAACTCGAAACATATCTAAATTGTTAGGTGATCACATTTTGTTTTTGAATCATGTTTTTAGGTAACTTACAAGTATTTGGTTGTTGTTTTGTAGTTTAGGAGAAAGCTAGGAAAGAAGGAAGGAAGTCAAGCACAAAGTGGTGAATTTGAAGTTGAAGGAATTTTTGGTTAAGTTCCCAGGCTAAGCCCCAGATCCACGCTTAGCCTCAGCATGGCAGAGAATCCCTGGAACAGAATTTTGATTCCCACGCTGAGCGTGGAACTGAGGCTTAGCGTGGATTGTGCTGACATGTCATTATTCACATAAGACAAAAGCTTTTATGACAAGAGAGACTAAAATCGCATGATTATGATATTTAAAGGGCTAAAATTGTTCAATTAAAAATTGAAGGACTAAAATCACACAATTACAATCTTTTTTGAACTAAAATTACTCAATTAAAATCTTAGGAATCAAAATTGTCAATTGCAACACTTGAGGGATCAAAAATACAATTAAGCCTTATTATTATTATTATTATTATTATTATTAGTAGTAGTATTATTAAATAAATAGAATTTACATATGTTATTAGTATAACTAATATTTTTGGTAAATTGATATTAATAATATTAATGTATTAACAAACAAATTAAAATTTAAAAAATATACATTAGCATACACTAATATTTTTACAAAATATAAATATATTAGATATGATACAAATTTATAAATATAAATTATAGTGAGTAAAATATGTAAATTGGACTTTCAATACTTGTATAATATATTTTTAACTAACCTTTTAACATATTTATATCTAATACATTTTTTTAAATTATTAATTATTTATTAATATACTATTATTATTATTATTATTATTAATTAGTAAGAAAAAAAGGCATTTCGTACATTCATGAAAAAAACTAGTTATTACAAATAAAAGGAGTAATTAATTTTGTATACACATCTTTTTCTTATTACATCCTTACAAGATAAATTAGTGGACTATTAGGGATAACTTAATGATTTGGAGAAAGGAGCTAGGGTAAAACCTAGTGAGAGGAATTAGGTTCAATCTTTTTCACATCTATGTAATCTTTTATATGAATAAAAAAAATAAAAATTAAATTAGTTGATAAAAATTAGAATGAGATAGGACTAATAATGTCTTTCAAAAGTTGGTCACCAAAGAGATGTATTTGTTTTATATACTAATGAAAAAGAAGTAATTTGTTTAAAATAGTAAAAAATAAAATAATAGAGATTATACAACATGTAAATCAAGTAAGATAATATATAATTAGAAAAATGTTAAAATAATTTTGAATAAAAATGGAGATCAATGTTACAAAATAAATGGTGGTTATTATTGATAGGATGGACATTGATTTTTTGTATACATATATATTTTTTCTTTCTATTTTACCTCAAAGAGACATGATTGTGGAAAAAATATTAATTTATCTAAAGAGGATACCAATTGTGTAACTTCATTTTAGTATCCACTTTTTTAGACTATTATACTTCTATATAACTACTCCAAGTCCAAACTATTGAATCTCTATATACAAATGACCTAATTTTATCATCTATATTTTTATTTTTTAAATTCCTATCTTTATTTATTTTTTTAAATAAAAGAGTATAAATCTTTTATAAAAAAATGTGAAAATTAAATGAGAGTAATAGTATATATAGTTATAATCTAACTATGATATTTTCAATACTAATGATATATATATATAAATTATATATTAAAGGAGCTTATTAGTTAAGTGGTATGTGTTTTTGTTAAGACCTAAAGTTTAGGGGATAAAAATCTTATTTTAAACATTTTGATAATATTTAATTTTATTTTTATATGTCAATCATCATACCATATTACCAATATATCAGTGTTTGCATCATGAGCCACTTTAGCACGTGTCACATCAACATAAATTATTAAGTTTTAACAAACAAAAAAATTGACAAAGATATAAAATTTCGTAAATGCGATACTTGAGATGCTTAATCACTAAATTGAAATATGAAAAACAAAACTAAACAATTGTGCTATTTAAGGAGGCAAAACTGTATTTAAACATGATTTGAAATATAACACAAAGTCACCTTTAATATATATATATATATATATATATATCGGAATGTATTTTCTTAAATTCAAATATGTCAAAGGTAGTTTCACATCCAAATAGGTTATTCCTACATTTTTTGAGAAATTTTAGATATTATAAATTGAATTCTATGAATTCTTATCTTTGTTTTTGTAATTAATTTACCAAATATAATTTAAAGTTCGATTTGCGAATACAATGTATTTAATTTTTAGATGAAAAATAAAGTATTTAAATTTTTGTAATGTTTTTGGGAGGTGATTATATGACTTGAAGTTCCAATTTTTCACTAAAATTTTTCAGTTGTCTGTATTATTCATAAATGACTGGATAGAATAGGAAGAAAGAATGTTTCTGGGACAATATTTAATGTATAATATTTTGGGTTTACAAACAATTGAACTTATTCTGGTACTTAATTACAAACAATTGAACGTAATTTTAAAGATATTTCAATCTAAAATAAAGAAACTATAATTAGTTATTTATACAAATAACTACTAAAAGAAAATAATTGATTTGCTTAAAATTCAAAATAACATGGTACGACATCAACAAAGTTGCATAAGAATGAAAAATATATATATTTTCCGACCCATAAAAGTGATAATTCAAATTTGTTATCTATGTTGGAATAAAAATGACTCGTTTAATAATTTATTAGAGTTAAATTTTTTACACCATGTCAAATACGGGGATAAAATTCTTGAAATGGCTCGTATAGTGACACATAACTTCAGAGTTGCTTAAATTTTTATTAAAAAAATAATTAGATATTTTCTTATAAAAATATTCATTGTTATAAACGTTAATATTATATATATATATATATATATATATATATATATATATATATATTAACAAACAGAAACAATATATTATCAAAGAGAAATAGAATGACAACGATAAAGTATCCAAAAAGAGAAAATAAGAGATTCTAAGACAAAGCAATATTGATTAATAGGTGATTTACACATGTTTTTAATATCAATTATTTTGAACACTAAGGGAACTCAAAATAGCTTAAGCATGTCAATGGTCACGAAACAATTTAGCCATATTTCCCGCACAATATGTGGTTCACATACACAAATTAAACAATCATGGACCAGCCTATGCCAAGTTTCAACTTCAAATTAGTTTGAACTTCCTATTTTCATTCTTTTGACCACTTCATCATCTAATTAAAGATTTTAGTTGAGATCCATCTAGGGAAACCCCTTTTACAAACAAATATAAATAGGCCTAGGAATCAATGTTCATGTCACCATCTCTCATCATTAATCTCAAATAAGTAGTTGAAGGAAAAAAATGGCTCGTCTGGCTTGTTGCTTGGTGTTGATCTTTTTGTGCCTATCCAATGTCTTTGAACCAACTCTTGCAAAGAAAGGAAACAAATCACCAAAGGCCACATCTACCAAGTACACTGCCCCAGTAGCCACACCTTTTACCTCCTTTGATCCAACACAACAAGATTTTGTCAAGAATCTATGCCAAGACACTAGGAAGCCTAAATTGTGTTCAAA